GGGAAAGGAGTTCCTCCCGACGACCGAGCAGATCAACCGACGAGGCCGATCGGAACAACCGACGGTGGCGGTCGATTGGGCGGTCCCAACCGACCGTCGCACAATCCTATGCCAGACTTTAAGCCGAAAAGGGCAGTTGCAAGCCTACCTCTTTCAAGTGATGCATCTCTGACCAGGTTTAGCCTCCCTCGGCACCTAAATTCTATGTTGGAAAAAAACTCCCCATGGATGACTTGTTGGATTGGTGTTTGAAGGGAAGAAAATAAATAAATAAATAAATATATATATATATTAAGCTTGGTACGTAAAACAAATTATGATTGAAAAAAATTAAAAATATCCTTCCATTTGGCTTTATTTGAATAATAAATGTAGATTAAATTAAATTAAGATGTTCCAAGTGATCTGGCACAGGTAAACCCATTTAATTTTTGAAGATAAAAAAGTGTACGTTCAATTTTTTAAAGGAACAAAACATAAAAGCCCGACTAGTTCACCAATTGTGCGGCTATATCTGCGAGTCCCAGGTAGCCGTCACTCCCTTGTTTCGGTGAGAATTTGTATCCACAGACAGAGATGGGAAGCAGCAAACAAACAGGTGAGGAACAAGGCAATGAGGAGGCCGTAAAAGCTTGGGAAATAAACAAAGATCGAATAGCTTGTATGCAAAAGCAAATATCAGAGCCACCCAGATTGCTGAGCAAAGCAGCTGGTAGGAGCTCATGCTGCATCTTCAGGGTTCCGCAGAGCCTAGTCGAAGTCAACGGTCGGTCCTATCAGCCTCGGATCGTGTCCATAGGCCCATTCCACCGCGGCTCCGCTCAGCTCAAGATGATTGAGGAGCACAAGTGGCGATATCTGGGCTCCTTGCTCAGTCGGATACAAAGCAGAGGCTTGGGTTTGGAAGACTTACTCAAGGCCGTCCAGCCTCTAGAAATGAAAGCCAGAGATTGCTATTCAGAAGCTATCCACCTCGATACAGATGAATTTATTGAGATGATGGTTCTTGATGGTTGTTTCATTATTGAATTGTTCCGCAAAGTTGGGAAATTGGTTAGCTGTCAACCTGACGACCCTTTATTCTCCATGGCATGGCTTTTGGCATTTTTTTACCGAGATCTCCTTCGACTAGAGAATCAAATCCCCTACTTCGTTCTTGAATGTTTGTTCGATTTAACGCAAATGCCTGGAGAGGAATCAGGTCCATCCTTGTCCAGTATTGCTCTGGAATTCTTTAACAATGCGATGCTAAGACCTGATGCAGATATTGCCAAGTACCATGATCTCAAAGGCAAGCATTTGCTTGACTTGGTTCGCATGAGCTACATTCCATCAGATCAAGGGGAACCACACAGGGGTGAGACACCAACCCATGTCATCCATTGTGTTTCCAAGCTCCGCCGGGCTGGGATCAAGCTAAATCCAGGGAAGGCAGACAGCTTCCTGGTGGTAAAGTTCAGGGGTGGAGTGATTGAAATGCCAACAATAACAATTGATGATTTCATGAGCTCTTTCCTGATGAATTGTGTGGCATACGAGCAATGTCATAGCAGCTGCTCCAAACACTTCACAACTTATGCCACTCTATTGGACTGCCTTGTCAACACCTACAAGGATGTGGAGTACCTGATTGATCGGAACATCCTGGAGAATTATTTTGGAACTGATGCAGAGGTTGCACGATTCATCAATAATCTGGGTAAGGATATAGCATTCGACATCGATATATGTTATCTGTCCAGGTTGTTCGATGATGTGAACCAGTATTACAAGAATAGCTGGCATGTTCAATGGGCAAGCTTTAAGTATACCTACTTCAAAACGCCATGGTCTTTTCTATCAGCATTGGCTGCCTTGATTCTCCTACTCCTCACCCTGGCACAAACCTTTTACACCATTTATTCAACCTACAAGTAAGATTGCAGAGTGTGTGTGTTTTTTTTTTGTTATTTGTTTTTTTGTTGGAGATGATTGCACAGCTATAACATCAAAGTTTAATTGGCTGTACCCTTTCTAAATTACAGAAATGAAAGTCATTTATGACTCTTGAGTTGCCAGTAGATTTATCAGCAATCAAATCCCCACCAAACATTCCAATGTGTCTAATATTGAAAACCAAACATTCAAAGGATTTCTAACAATCTCATTTTTATTACTAGAAAAATATAAAGCCAACAGTCAACAGGTGTGGGCACGCTAGTGGAGCCAAACAAATGAATATAAGATGGAACAAGTGGCAGTTGAGTAAAGCAAAAGTGTGCAATCGATAGAAACATCAACCAAGGATCTTTTCCGAGTTAACACGTGTGAAGTGGATGAAATTAGTAGTATAGAAAAACTGACTTCCCCGGCATTTAAGATACCCTCTGCCACGTGTCATTATCACGTAATTCATATTTGATGTTGACGTCTTTATATTTTAAAAAAAAAAACAATCACGACCGAGTCATATATAGATGATCTGTCATTTAATAAATTTATCTTTTGTACAAAAATAGAAAAAAAAAAATAAAAAAAGACAACAAATTGAATCACTATCACCCGAGTACAACTCGTAATATCCCAAATTTCTAATTTCTCAATTTACTTTAGTAGAAGTTTCAATCACTCTTTAAAGGTATGTTTGGTTAGGGAGATTAATTTATCTTTAAAGTCACCCTTGATTTATTTTTGCATTAAAAAAATTCAATCTTTAAAAACATGAAATAGTTAATACCAACTTCTCATCGATATTGATTATTCAAGTTTCATGAAATAGAACTCAACTGATTATGAATAAAAATAACTGCGCTTATCATGTGAAATTACTAACCTTGCCATATAAAGTATTACATTAATATTTTAATAATAAATAATAAATATTTAATACTAAATTATTAACTTAAATATACTCTTAATATTTTAAAAAAAGAAATTGAAAGAGAAAGAGCTAAAAATAAATTAATAGTATTTTTAAAAATAAATTATTAATATATGAATATTAATAATAAAATTTTAAATTATTAATATACTTTAAAAATATTTTATTTAATAATTTAAAAGAGAAAAATAAAAAAATCATATTATTAAATTCTTAATATTTTAATATAAAAGAATTAAAGAAGAAAAAATGGAAAATAGAGGAAAAATAAAACAATAAAATAAAAATCATAAAAATACCTTTTTTTTTTTGTAAAAATAAGAATTTTATTATAATCAAACCATTTTAGCACCAACATATTCATCAACAAGTGACGAATCATAAAATAAAACATACTCGTTTAAAGCAAAACCCATATATGAGAGATCTTCACTTCCCATTGCCATTGAGCCATCTCTCAAACAATTTGGGTTAGATCCGAATTAGCACATGGAGGAGATATTAAATCTTGATATTGTAATGATAAAATATTAATATTTTTAATAATAAATTACTATATTTTCAGTATTTTTAAAAAAAATAAATTGAAAGAGAAAAAGGGCAAGATACAGCATTAATATTTTAATAATAAAATTTCAATATCTAATAATAAATTATTAAATTATTATTTAATAATAATAACATTGTCCAAAAATAATGAATTTCAAAAACCTCAAAAATTTTATTAAATTATAATAAAAGATAATTTTTTTTTTATCATTTTATCACTTATTCCTTTATTATTTCAAAACAATTTTGATAAACTAAACATTGAAATAACGTTAGAATTAAACTTCCATTTGACGAAAAAATAAATATTATGAAGCCCACACAGGCCGCCGCTTCAGCATCCCATTTACAAAAAGATATAATGAACCAAACAGAAACTGAGACAAACCTGATGTCCTTGCATGGATCATTAGATTCATAGGTTATGGCATGATTTTTTGGCTAGTAAGGCATGTGACACTCTCCGTCTGCATACAAATTCAACTCATTTTTGTTGTTTTCTACCAAAAAATCCTTTTAGATAGATGGCCATGTCTCCAGCTAGCCAAAAAACACACGAATGCAACATGTCAGGTCAAGCCAAACATAACCACATTATGAATTTAATGGTTCACATCATTAATTTAATTGTGCTTGTCCACAGACAGAGGGACCAAAATCAGCATTTAATAAAAATAGCTAGACTTAATTTGTCATAATTTGGTGAAATACATGGACTAAAACCATTGTCTAACCAAAATTAATGTCATATGCTAAGCTCATTTGTTGGTAAAAAAATCTAAATCATAGGCAGCCAATCTGAATTTAATTTAACATATATATATATATATATATATATATATATGTCTAAGATGCAGAAAAATGTCCATTATTTAAGCTGCATCACAATCTTTTTCGTTTTCACAAATTTTCTTACTAAATAAATATTCAATTTAGAATAAGTTTGTTCCTTTTAACAGCTCAAGGAAATTCATCTGTAGGGCCTTTAATATAAACGATAAACTCACTTTTCTTGGAAGAATAAGTTCACATCTATGGTAGAGCTAATTAAGTAAATAAATATGTTTTCATTTTTCTTACATGCTACACAAGATATCTCTCTGGGAATCCCAATTTTATGAGTTCTAAACTCGATGCCGTGAGCCACTTAATATTGCAAACTAACCTATGTAAATTCTCCAAGCTAAAACATACCTTATGAAAGGAGGCAATTTTGTGGGTCAAATTCCGTATATCCAACATCAACAAGGCATAATCCATCAGGGGGCCCAGGGGGTGCCGTTGCACGTCTACAGGTAGCCCCCATCAGTTTCAGCAGTGCATCTTCTTCTGCTCCGGCAGCTGCCTCCCTTATTGAGGTTGCCACAAGCACACGAACCATCTATTATATTTGGTTAGCCACCATCAGAATGCAAGCAGGAGAAACAGTTATAACACAATGTAATACTATTATAACATGAGGGGTACAAACCACTGATCCGAAAATGGATGAGCTTTCATATTTTTTCCAACATCACTCATTTAATTTGGCAAAACAAAGAGAAGACACGTCTACGGCATCTGGAAACAAAATGATCTCAAATTCTAAAACACACACATGCAGGCAAGCATGGACATTAGTGTAATACCTTGCGTAGGAATCGATTAGCAACTAGCTCGACACACATGACCTTCCTTCCTTCCCCATGATCCTACCAAAAAAGTAGCAACCCTATTAGTGATGCTGATACCAAATATCCAAGGGTCATAGATACTACTCACCCAGATTTATCCCATCAAAGAGTTAAAAGGAAAAAATATGCTTCACAAATTATAGCATTAATGATGGCAGTGCTGTGCTCATCTATAAACGAGAATCAACATTGTAAAGAAACAAGGTAAAATTGGATGCATCCAAAGACTTGAAAAGGTTCAATTCGTAAAAGTCCCAATGCAAAATCAGCAAAGCTCAAGCTATACAGACCACCCTATAGTTTTTGGATCCCACACTACTGAGTGAATCTCTGGTAAAATTGTTTTCTAGTTGTTTACTTATATTCCATAAGCTGGTAATTTTACATATTGCAATTATCCACAAAACAGTATTACAACTTTGCCATTATTCATAGAACAGTGAGATCGTAATACAAACAATAGGTTTTTCAGCCTAAAATAAACAATCAAACAAACAACAAACGAGCAGCTCTTACTAGATAAAAGCACAGATGCATGCATATACGAAAGCAAAGCTAGGGTTACAACAAAGTTGGCAATGATTTCAAACAAGCCAAATTCAGATCATCTTAACTCTATTCCTTCTATTTCAAAAGTTGCCAGGAATAATTATTCATCACTCTAGCGAAAGAAAAAAAAGTTGGAATTAAGTATTCAAAAGTTAAATTTTAACTTTATTGGTACAAGAATACTTAGGACCGGGCCACTCTTCAAATTGCATGTGCAGCCTATATGCAAATCTTTTGGAAGTTTTGCAAAACTAAGTTGCAGTCATGTTCATTCACTAAGGGAGAAAACCGAGGAACAAAATTAAGTTTGCAACATTGATAACCGTAAGAGACATTTACAGAACAGGGTATTCTTGCTTCTGCAGCTCGAGCATGGTACATGAAGCACTCCGTTGGTGGTCCTCTGAAATAAATATTCATATGAAAAATGGTCATTAAAAAAATCATATGGGACGAACCTTCTTAACAAGATTAATCTCTTGTATGAATCAATGAATATGAAAAAATTATTCCGATAATGTTCATTAACCATAGCAGACTAACTAGCATCCTTTTGGAGACATCCAATAAAACTAGAATAGCAAATGATAATAACAAATGGCAGAGGGACTTCAGGGGATAAAAACGAGAAAAAGACTGATACAACACCAATTATACCACATATAACACAGTCAAATAAATCCACTAATAGTAAATTCATAAATGACTTTTGCTAGATATCAAAACTGAGAATTTTTGGAGCATTGTTAGCTAGCAACCAATTTACTCCGAGTGTGTATCAGAATAATCCACATGTTCAAGAAATGATCTTTGTTTTCAATTTTGTCATCCAGTCATGTCCAAAGCTTATGTATGAATTAAACCTATAATACTAGTAAAAAGATTTGGATATGTCTAAAAAACCCAGAGCAACAAGAGCATGTCTATGCAAATTACATTATCTCTACTCAATTTCTTGATGATGTCACCTTTGTTTGGTTCTTACATGTTTCTAGAAGCTTTGGTGTCACGTGCAAACATTTTGTATGATAATAATTTTCCTTCTAGTTGCTGTAGAAACTGATTAACCCTGCATATACTGAACCTGGTTGGCTTGTTTGCTGCTCCAAGCCCCATATTATTGCTGATAATTAAGTTCTCAACATTTTCCCAACTAATGTCTTTAAGATACCCATTTCTTTGCTCATTATAATTTCCATCAGAAATAAAATTCTCAACTTCCTTCTCGTTCTCACAGCTTTGTTTCTCAATTTCTTGATTGCTCAAAGGAAAAATATACAAGTAGCGCCTCCATTTTGCAGAGAAGTTAGGATGGAATACACGCGAAACCTACAATAATTTAACAATAGTTATAAGCGTAGAAAATTAAATATTATTTATAAGCTTTGGAATTGCTTTTATAAAGGAACTTTTTTCCCCTTGGGTAAGCATCTGGACATAACGACAACAAATACCTCAGAAACTGATACGACCCTGAGTTTTCCAGGTGCCACACTGTTGATTGCATCTTCAATATCACAAGGCTTAACATCCTTTCTCCAAGTATCTAAATGTAAAACCACAAAGTGAAAGAAACATAAGATACAACTCTAGAAAAAGAAAGATGTGAGAAAACAATTCAATCATCAGATGTCTTACAGACTACACTGCTTCATATTTTTCAATGCAATAGTGAAAAGGAGGATGTTAAGGGATGATATTATTCCAACATTTATTACTGTAGCCCAGTTTGGCAAAAACACATATACAATGTAATCTGCTGACTGAACCTTGACCAAAACAATGACCAAATATTATAAGAAAATTTTGCACAACAAATCAAAATCACCTGTCAGTAAGAAAGACGAGGATGGTGGTGAGGTTCAATTATAATGGTACTCATAAGAAAAGTGTAGATTATAGGAAATTTTGTAATGATAAAGTTCTGTCTTAGCTATCTTCCATGCTTTTAAACGATGAGAGTAAAAAACGCCTTGGTTTACTCAAAAATACCATAGTAAACCTGAAAAGGCTTTCTGGGCTTTTAGCCCTTTGTTATTAACAAACAGAAAAGGTTTACCATTGATTACTTGCAATACTAGACTTGAATTTAGACTTTAATCCTTTTGGGCATGTTTAATAAAATGGAAATGGAACATATAATATTGAGAAAAAAGAGTTTGGTAGAAAATAATTGGCTTAAATTTTAAGGCTCATAATCATTGCCTCAGCTTTACATGATGCTTTTAGTTCCATATATCTCAAATAATTATAGAAGCTAGCTTCTTCCATCTTAAATGTTTTTTATTAACAAGAGAATGATCCTAGAAGCTACACAATCTTGTAGGTTAATTTAAGAAGCTTAGCAAATTTTGAACACAGTCAGTAGCATCTGGACCAAAAGCGAAACAAGAAAAGTAATGATAAACGTCCAGCACCAAAATGCAAGAGAAAAGAAAAGGACAACTTCCATCAGGAAAAGAGCAATTCAAAGTAGACAAGTTCATGCTTCTAACTTAAGCAACTGACTAATTAGAATAAACCTTTCACAAAGTTGATCAAAGTAGTATTTTTCACAAAAGGGGAAAAGAAATGAACAAGGTCCATTTTATCATGTCAAAATGAGCAAGAATCTCTGATGAAAATAGTTATAACATACAGAAAGAACAAACTTGTTGAATAGCAGACACTCCTTTGTCAGTGCGTCCAGCAACCACGGCACAACCTTCCAATGGTTTAGATTTTTCCTTCAAAAGCTGTGCTTTCTTCTCATCAACAAATCTCCCAAGAGATCTTTCAACTATTCTGTAGAATGTAATGAAGTAAGCGAGAGTGAGAATAGGATCCCAAAAGTAAAAAACTCCTAACCTGAAATGGATCCAGAAAAACTGTTATCTTTGTGTTTAAGTGTCCAAAAATAATAAAAAACGGATTACTATAGTTTCATTGCCCTTTATTCAAAAACACAGACATCACAGCATAGTTCACCAAACTCGATAGTTAACGGAAAAACCAACTTACTCCTGTACAGTGTTCAAACCAGGCTGCTTCTGCCATCCATCAAATGCACCTCCATTGTATGAAACAATTATCTTGAATGTTACTCTTTCCCATCTTCCAGACCTTTCCTCCTTCTCATCAGAAACCTCTACTGTTTTAGAATCATCATGAATACCTGCCTGCATCAAAACTTTTAAGAATAAATAATACTGCTTAAGAAGTTACTAATCCATAAAGGTCGCGGAGTAAGCAATGACAAAAGGGATGCCCCCAAAATTAATCTAAACCCATTGGATTAAAAATGATAATATTTAGGACTAAGATGCACGATTCAGCCCCCCAATTGTTTGAATTGAAACTTTACAGACATTGAGCATCGAGTATATTTAGTCATCAACATTGTTCAGCATATTTGGAAAAAACATGAGCAGTAATAAGAATTAGTAGCCAAAATAAGTACCCTGTAACTTGCAAGAAAGAACGGAGAGTATTCAACTGGAAAGAAATAGATACCTCAGTGCCGAACAACGTCGACAAGGTTAAGCGGCCGTTGACCACATTGGAATAAAAATCGATAACATCCTGCCAAGCCCGGTCGTACATGAACCGGTAGCTCTCCCTAGCAGTCCACCTCGCAGAACTGCAAGAATCGCTGTGATTATAGTGAACATAGACTTTGTTTTCTGCTTCGTTTTCCATTACTGGTGATGTTAAGTCTCTGAATCTCCCGAGCTTATTCTTTCTGCTGATAAAAATTGTCACCGATTCTTTGAGTTGCGAGGAGCAGCGAAGCATCACCACTCTAAATCATTTTTTAGTTCTAATGTTTAAACGCTTAAAGCCTCCGCCTCACTCCCGTCGCCACCCCTTCCGCGCCGGCTCATCCCTTCCCGAGCTTATGACCCTGACCAGCAGCCCTGGCCTTTTCAAAGCTTCCACAACACAGAAACCGCTGTTTTAATTAGGGGAGAGCACCGGTCGGTTCGGTCGGTTTTCGGTCGGTTTTGAGGAAAAACCGATTAAAAATTTTCGAGATATAACCGACCGAACCGCCATATTATAAAATCGGTTTCGATCGATTTTTTTGAATGTCGGTTTCAGTCGGTTTCGATCGGTTTTGGTCGATTTTTGATGATAAAATTAATGGGTTGACTTAAGTTGACTTGGACTAAAATGGGTTAAATTGGGCTATAATTTATGGGCTAAAATAGGTTAAATTGGACTATGATTTATGGGCTAAAATGGTCAAAGATTAATGGGTAACATTAATTTCAATGGGCTAAAATACCAAAAGATTCATGCACTAAAATAGTTAAAAATACAATGACATTAATTTCAAATTAAGTTTTTTGTTAAATAATTTGA